AGATTGCTGATGTCATCAGAATTGTTGACGTCATCAGGCTTTGTTGACGCCATCAGGTTTGTTGACGTCATCAGAATGGTTGACGTCTTGAAGATTGTTGATGTTCGCGATGATGTCATCGAAGTTTGTGGTGGCCTCATTAGCGCTCACGACATTCCATTCTTCAAAATGTCTGATGGGAAAACAAAATTCACATTATCATTAGCGCCATCATGCTCATCATCATCATCACCACCACCACTCCAATCATCGTCATCACCATCATTATCACCATTATTAGCACCATCATCATCAACTTCACCATTATCATTAGACTAATCAATTATTTCTTTATAAAAATGGTATTATTTTCATTATTTGTATCTTTTCACTGTCACCACCATTCTCATCGTTATCATCATCATCACCACCATCATCATTACCACCACCATCCCTGCCATGACAACCGCCACTACCACCACCACCATCCCCACCAACATCACCTGTGAAGGTATGTGAGGGCCGCAAGAACGGAGAAACATGACAAGAGTTCTGCTCTCCCGACAACACTGCATACCTGAGTGTTGTTGGTGATGGTGGTGTTGTTGTTGTTATTGATGATGCTGTTGTTGTTGTGTTAGCTGTGTTGTTGTTGTTGTTCTGGCCATTATGGTTACTTGTTCCAATGTTCATCTATATTTAATGAATCTTTATATATGTGTGTATTGTTGTGTATTATAATGTGTCGTTGTGTATTGTTGTGTATTATGATGTGTCGTTGTGTATTGTTGTGTGTTGTTGTGTATTGTTGTGTGTCGTTGTGTATTGTTATGTATTGCTGTGTATTGTTGTGTATTGTTGTGTATTGTTGTGTGTCGTTGTGTATTGTTGTGTGTTGTTGTGTGTTGTTGTGTATTGTTATGTATCGTTGTGTGTTGTTGTGTGTCGTTGTGTATTGTTGTGTATTGTTGTGTATTGTTGTGTGTCGTTGTGTATTGTTGTGTGTTGTTGTGTGTTGTTGTGTATTGTTGTGTGTTGTTATTATTTATTTCTATGTGTTGTTATGTTCCGTGTTTGTGCTTCTGCCTCATGTTTTCCACAGCTGCCTGGCTGGCCTGCCTATCTGCAAGTCGTTTCTTGGTGTATTTTCTTAATTCTGCCACGTTTGCGTGTTTAATTTTTAGTGCGAAATTTTCTCATTTTGAAAATTTGACGGCTTTTTAAGCAAATAAACTCGCAAGAACGCCTGTTCGTTGATTTGTACACCTAGCTGTACATTTGTTTTGTATTGTATGTTTGTGGGTCTCTGTTTGTTTGTTTGTATGTATGTTTGTTTGTACGTTTATGTATGTTTGTTTGCTTGTTTGTATGTAGTAGGTGCATCTGTCCTTCTCTATTAAATATTTGTATTTTCTTCTACGTTTGAACGTCTGTTTGTCCAATTGCGTTTCGCGGTATCTTTTTTATTTTTGGTACGTCTGTTTCTTTTTGAATATATGCCTGCCATCGTGTTTGTTCGTTTGTTCGTTCGTTCGTTCGTTCGTTCGTTTGTACGTTCGTTCGTTCGTTTGTTTGTTCGTTCGTTCGTTTGTTTGTTCGTTCGTTTGTTCGTTTGTTTATGTGTATCTATGTTTATTTGCTTGTGAAATCGTTTGTATATCTATATATAATTGCAGGTTGTTTGTTTGTTTGTGTGGGTATGCGTGCGTGTGTGTCTGCTTATTTATTTGTATGTATGTGTTTTAGTTTATTCGGCTGTTTATTTATTTGTTTGTCTGTTCGTTTGTTTGTTTGTCTCTTGAAGTGTTTGTACCGGAAGTCATGACGGGCCTCAGCATGGTTTACAATTCAAATGGCGGGAGGAGACATATTGTCACGTGGTTTTCTGTAAAACACCTTGAGCAGCCAATCAAATGTTGACATGTTGTAAAATGAGTGAGTGAGTGAGTGAGTGAGTGAGTGAGTGAGTGAGTGAGTGAGTGAGTGAGTGAGTGAGTGAGTGAGTGAGTGAGTGAGTGAGTGAGTGAGTGAGTGAGTGAGTGAGTGAGTGAGTGAGTGAGTGAGTGAGTGAGTGAGTGAGTGAGTGAGTGAGTGAGTGAGTGAGTGAGAGGTGAAAAGACAATATAAATTATTAAAATGTAAAAAACACAAACTTACAATTGAGCCAGTGAACACAAAGTTAAAGGAACAAACAAACAAATGAACGAAAGATGTCGAACTAATGGACACATCACTGAGGTAAAAATTAAAATGCATGACTGAATAAACAATATAAAATAAAAATTACAAACAAAGCAAACTATGCAAACAAACAAACAACCAGACGAACAAACAAACAAAATAACAAACCTGCGAACAAACAAGCAAACAAACAAAGAACCCACCCCCTGGCAGCATACGCATCCAAGGCAATCCTTCATTGAACAACAAAAAATATAAGGAACAAATTGGATGAGAAAAATTATTGCGGACGATAATGGGAGGTGGTGAATAATTCATAGATTTATAATACAAGATGTCCTCCACTATCATTTCTTTGCACTTTTGCGTCTGCGCGCTGCAAACCTTTTTAACGTTCAGAAAAGTGCGGTGCTCTAATTTCTGCGTGAATTTCATAATGAGGAAGCCTGGCTGGTGGTTATGTGGTGGTGGTGTGGTAGTGGTGATGGAGTGGTGGTTG